GAGTCTAAGATAGTTGAAGTTCAAGGTAAGTTGGGTAAAAAGATTTTAGAGTCTAAGCCAGTGTTTGCTCCTAAAGAGGAGAGAACATTGACATTGACCCAGAAATGTTCTAAAAATAAAATTTTATTTTTACATGTCAAATTTCTTTTTCTCTGGTTCAGGTTCTTTCTTCTCTTCTTCTACTTTCTTTTCTTTCTTTTCTCTCTTCTTCTTCTTCTCTGGTGGAGTTATGTCAAATTTGGCGCAACCATTATTTATGTAAAAGTTCTTTGTCCTTAATAGCTCATCTATTCTGTTTTCTATTTCATCTTCAAGAACAGCGCATGTGTCTTCTTTGCATTCTAAGAACTTTTGTTGGACTTCATCTTTCCAATCGGCGTCATCTCTGTCAACAAGTCTGTCATTGACAAACTTAAGACTTCTCTGCTTAATGTTTTATGTTCTTGTCTATTCCCAGAAAACAGAACTTTAGAACAAATTCCCCTTCTTGTTTACACTATGTAAGATTTTATTGGTCGACAGATGTTTTGCTGTCAAAAAGTTTGTCTCGAATATAGATAGCGAAATCGCTAGACATTTTAAAAAGATAAAAATTTTAATTTTTCTAAAAATATGTTAGAAAAAAAGTTTGCTGACATTGACAAGAAATTTGAGAATGTTTTAAACAAGAACAAGAGGAAGTTAGAAAATGCTCAGAAAAACCTATACATGACAAGTTCTTATTGCTCAGAATGGTATAACAGTCTAATCGCACCACCTGGGTCGGGTAAGACTTATCTTTAAAATGGCTGCACAACAACAAGAACTAGATGAGAAGAACCCATTCTATGAGTTAGTTGTTATTTGTAGTACTTCTGGTCAATTTGACCAAACCGTCAATTCGTTCAAAGATATTATATAAAAGTCTAAGTTAGTATGTATAAAAGACTCTGAGTTGTTAGATTGGATAAAGAAGTACCAAAGAAGAGTTTTGAAGTACAATGCTATAAATGAGTATGTCAATTCTAAGTTTAAAGACCCAAATGAGGAAATGCAGAGAATATTAGAGAAGAAACACTTCAGAAACAAACAGAAAGAGATAGAATACATTTCGAAGAAATTGCAATCTTACGATTGGAAGACTTACCCTCATAGATGTCTTCTTATCTTAGATGACTTTGCTTCTCATCCTTTGTTAAAGAATAGAGAACAAGACATGTGTCGAATTCTTAAGAAGCTCAGACACTTTAACATCTCAGTTGTCATTTGTGTACAGACAGCAAAGAGTTTAAGTAAGGATGTTAAAAGAATACTTACTGACATTGTACTTTTCCCTGGATTGTCCGAAGACGATTTCATGGAACTTATGAAAGAGTCCATGGCAGGTAAGTTTGACAGACATGAACTATGGGAGAAGTACAAAGTCATACAAGACCCTCATACTTCTTTCAGAATTCATATCTACGCAAACAAAGTTCAAATTGTAAAAAGTCAATAAAAATAAATGGTTCATTTACTCTGCTTGTTTGAAGTTGTCAAAATACTCTGTTATTTTTCACGATTTTCATACGGAATTCAATAAAAATATATTTTAGGGTAGATGGGTATATCTAACCCGTTTTCTACCCTCATTTCTACCCCAGTTATTTTATAAGCGTTTTACATGGTAAACATTGTGAATTCGTGAAATTCTAAACAATTTCGTAGCTTCTATTTCTTCTGTCAGTACATCGAATGTTTTAACAATGCCGAAGGTTTCTTTATACTTCTTCTTGACATCTGAAAGAAGGAAATCGTCAGCTGTTGGATAGTTTTTGTTTAGAAATGCTAACATGTCCATTTTATCTTCTGCTGGTTTCTCTGCCTCCCTCTTTAAGTCAGCATAGTCGTTTCTCATACGTTCTATCTCTTTGACGGAGTAGTTATATTTCCTAATTGCTGCCTTACATTTTGAACATTGCGGGTTCATTTTTGCGTTATATTCTGAAACCTTACCTGCTAGTATGACTAAGGCGTCAATTGCTCTCTTTAACTCAAAAGTTGCGGGTTTTATCTGTTCATTCCATATCTTACCTCTTCTATCTTTATCTCTTATCTGCCATACACATTCAGCAACTAACGAAACAAAGTTGTCGTAGGTCTTAAACTCCCCAGATTTGTATATGTCAGAGATGTTCTTATATACCATATCGCAATCTTTGTCCATGACTTTGTGGTTGCAATGAAATCCAAGAAACTCATAGTTAACCTTTCGTATGAACTTCTTTATTTCTACTGAGTCAGTTGCTTTGACTTCTATTTCATCGAATTCTGGAATAGTAAGCTTTTGTTGTTGGATTTCAGGCAATTTGGGTAAATGGTCAATAATATCCTGCATTTCATAAAGATACTGTTCATTTGTTTCATCTTTCGCACTACAGTCTAAATTACTTGTTAAAAGTTCCTGCTTTATCTTCTGGATTTTTGTTTCGAAAGTATATGAAGAAGGAATGAAGCTTTTCATCTCTACTAACATTGAAGTTGGGTTCATGACTAACGAGTTTGGTGCTGTTGTTGCTAACATGTTCTTACAATAAAAATAAAAAAATATTTTTTTAAAAAAACCAACTTTATTTTTTATTTCGGGAAAACTCATGACAAATTCAAGAGGGTAGAAAAGAGGGTAGAAGACAGGTTATATCTAACCTTCTACCCTAAAATATATTTTAGGGTCCTTTACACTCATTACGAAGAAGTCATGACAAAACATTTACGAAGAAGTCATGAAAATTCAAGAGGGTAGAAAAGAGGTTAGAAAACAGGTTAGATATACCCATCTACCCTAAAATATATTTTTGGGTGTAAAATTCAAATTGTAAAAAGTCAAGCTTGAAAAATCTAAGTGTTTAGTCTTAGTAAGATGGTAGCTTCTTAAAGCATATGCCGTCCTTGAGTTTTATGTACGTGAAGAGAAGTACAATGAATTCAATTACGAGTACAATTGCAATGACAACTAAGGCAACTATTTTTGTCTTTTGCCAGCAAGAGTACTTCTTCTCTTCCAATGGTTCGGCAGAACTATACTCACTCATGAGAAATGCCAAAACGGTTTAATAGAAAAAGTGTCATTTTTTTCATGTCAGAAGACTCGAAGGTGCAACACTTCCAAAATACCGACGAACTCAGAAGAGCAGCATGGCAGTATGTTCTTGACAACTTCTTTGAGTTCTCCAGGTACACCTTGGAAAATGCTGAAGAACTCCGACACAGAGAATTTGGAGAAATTGCACTCCAATACTACCTTGACAAACAAAGGGTAAACAAAGGGTAAAATAAGACTAAAAACTTAACGTTTAAAAAGTGACATTTTTATGAGCTCCGAGTCACCGAGAAAACTTGGTCAGATGTTAGCAGCTTACTTCCCTGAGGAGGATGGAAGCGTTACATACGTAAGGTTCAAAAACAACGAACCTGGAATTGCGTACCAAATTCGCAATTACATGACCATGGAAGAGTACGAAAGGTTTCTACAAGAGAAACCAGCTCTAAACAACTCAGAAAAGAAAGAGTAAAAAGTTTAACTCGTAATTGTTTATTTTTTTACTTGTATGGGCAAGCTGCAAGAATGAAGTCGACTATCTCAGTCTTTGTCTTGACCAGTTGGACTGCTCTTGCGAGTACGTCTGTTTTGCGGTCTCCAGCTGGTGTCTGACCTTCGTAATTGCGCATGTTCTTGAGAGCTCCAACTGTAAATGGCTGTAAGATGAAGAGTCTCTCAGACTGCTTGAGGTAGTCTTCACGGTCACGAACCGAATCTGTGGTACGAGTCGAATTGGTCGACCTTAGGGAAGAGACTGAAAGCCTGTCATCTTCCATAGGGGCTGTGGCATACTCTTTGCGTAAACGGTTCAGACCTTCTTCGAACTCTTGGTCTCTCTTCGATTGGGATTGAGATTGGAATTGGGGTGGAGGGTTTGACATGAACATCCAAGGGTTAGGGAAGTAAGGCATGGGTTGAGGAGGGTAGTTTGGAAAGCCTTGTGGTGGGTAGTTTGGAAAGCCTTGTGGTGGGTAGTTTGGAAAGCCTTGTGGTGGGTAGTAACCTTGAGGTGGAAATTGGTAGTAATTCGGAGGTCCTTGTTGGAACTGAGGTTGCTGAGGAGACTGTTGTGGTGCTGGAGCATGCTGTTCCTCTGGCTGTGGAACGGGTTCAGTAGGTGGGACGTCGGACATTCGTTTGTGTCTTAACCGTCTTTGTTCTGAAACAATATAATATTGTCTTGAAAAAGTACAACATTGTCTTGAAAAAGTACAACATTGTCTTGAAAAAGTACAACATTGTCTTGAAAAAGTACAACATTGTCTTGAAAAAGTACAACATTGTCTTGAAAAAGTACAACATTGTTCTGAAAAAGTACAACATTGTTCTGAAAAAGTACAGCTGTACTCAAATTTGAGAGACATTGTACTGAATTTATACAACATTGTTCTGAAAAAGTACAACATTGTTCTGAAAAAGTACAATATTGTCTTGAAAAAGTACAACATTGTCTTGAAAAAGTACAACATTGTCTTGAAAAAGTACAATATTGTACTGACTCAGTATGGAGCTTGACCCCTTAGACGAAGCAATTTATCTAATTGAGGTAAATGAAACCGTGAAGGAATATCTCAGCAAGTGCAAACCAAGCAAGTCCATTGGCTTCTGGTTGTCCAAGAATAGTGTCTTAAAGTTGGAAATTGAAACAGGTGTTGCAATTCAAGTTCCAGAAGGCACTGCATTCGATGATATTAAGGATGTGAAGAAAGAAGCCCTCTTGAAGTTCTTCATGAAACGTCCTTGGATACTACTTCCATATCGTGAGAGCCCAATTCCACGAATTACACAAATTCTCAGAGCACTACTTCACTACTCTGGACAGCCGTTCTTCATAACCTCAGAAGGCGACATCCAACCAATTCAGTAAACATCTCATTTTAACTTCACTTTTTTTATGTTTTTACTCACACTCGTACTCAACAGGTTTGTGTACAACTATTTCAACTGTGAACCTTGTATTGACCGGTCTTCCTGCAAATGCAAGTTCGGTCAATACACAATTTATGGTGGCAAGAAGGACAGTGGGGAATGTTATTCTGACATCTGTTGTTGCGCTCGAGAGAGAATTGAAATTCCAGACCCAACTCCAACACCAACACTCAAGTTGCCGAAGACTCATGTGAAGAAGAAGCCTTCTGGTAAGTTTCTTATAGCCATCTATATGGCACGCTTTGAGTAAAAACATTTTTTTTCTTTTTTGAATGAAGCAAGTTAAATTCGTCCCACACCAATCTCAATGGACCGATGAAGAGTTTCAAGCTATGGTTGAAGGTGAGAACGACATAGACGGCGAACTTGAAGGAGCTCAAACCACAATTGCAACCAAAATTGCACAAGTCAAGGAACAGATAGCTCCACTTAAAGCTACCAAAGCTACTCTTGACCTCATGGATACTTACCGTTTAGAAGTAAAGAGTGGAATAAGACAATTAAAATTAAAACTTCTAAACTACGAAGCTATACTCCAAAAGTTAGCAGAAATGAGAAGACTTTACCAGAGCTACTTACATGTAAGGGACTTACCTTCAAGCAGTCCGACCAAAGATGAATTTTCTGACATTGTCCCAATTTTGTCCGAAAGTCAGCTCAGATGTTTTGAACTGCTCCCAACATATCCAGAATATGAACGTTTGCCTGAACTCTTCCGCAATCTCAAAAAACGTTTTTTGGTTCTCATGTTCGAAACTTTTATCGGAAGAGACAACAAACGTTCAGAAGAAGAACAAGATATTATTTTAAACTTGTTGTATGACTTAACCGTCATAACAAGCTTTTTGAAGTAAAACCGTCATTCTCAAACCACTTCATTTTTTCGATGTCCGAACAAGCACCGAAGCCGAACACAATGGCAGATGTCCTTTCAATGTTGCCAGACAAGCGCCCAGTTCAAATTCAAATTTTGAATTTGAAAGCTCATCTGACAAACACCGTTAAGACTCTCCAAAGTAGTCTTATGGAAGAGATGACCAAGCTCAAAGCCGATGTCCTCATGAACCAAGCTTCCAATGAGAAATGCCTGAATGATTTGACGGAAACCTTGCGCATTTACGAGAGAGAGAACCGAGACCTTGCCAGACTCATCTACCGTTTCTTCGAAGAGATAGACGCCATCTGGAAGGTACTCGGAAAGGACAGAACTCCAACACCGTATTCGTGAACACAGAATTGAAGAAGGAATTGTCGAGGAAGAAGAGAAACACGAAGAAGAAGAGGAAGAAGAGGAAGAAGAGAAACACGAAGAAGAGGAAGTTTGGGCAACCCTTGTTGCCGATGACACTTACGAAATTTCCCAACCCTACCCATACCAAATCCGCAACAAGGAGACAGGCAAGGTTCTTACCCCAGTCCTCAACAACTTGGGACACTTGAACCTTACCCTTCGGAATCGCGGTTCAATCTCCATGGGCAAGCTTGTCGCA